ACCAGGTATGTTAACTATAGTTAGTCTTGGGTAAGTTAACCATGGTCAACTCAACAAAGCACTATGGTAGTGGTTTCTTCGGTAATTCACGGTTGAAACGTGGGACAATCAGGTAATTACAATGGAATTTCGCAAATTGCAGATCAGGTATACCTGTCCCAATTTTTAATAAAATATATAATGTGGTCCTTAAGAGAAATATATATATATATATTTTTCAATTAAATCCACACCTTCTCTACCTTTTCTTTCCCTTTTCTTGTTAGCAGGCTTGTATTGACTTTGATTTTCAGAATATATAGACAAAATTCAATCTTAAAATGAACTTGCTAGTTTACCCTGCATGCAGATATCAGAAATTCATCACCTGAAAAGTTTTGAAACCGGGAAACGTTGATTCATGCTTTATATAGATGCATACATACATTTGAGGCATGTACTTTCATGAGACAGCAGTCTGGTTGAGAGGAAGTTCTAAGCAAAATTATTTACACACACAATAACCAGACGTATAATCAAGAGGCAGAAAGGAGACCGTTTAGACCCAATCCAGGCGAATTGACCAAAATACAGTATGTGTCCATTTCTAACATTTATGCAGTGAAGCCTCGGTGGAGAGAGCTCCAAGGGCCAGAGGGGAAAACAGCGCAAGCTTGAGCAGATGCCTCATTCATCTGCTCCACCTGAATTCCAGCATTACATATGTTCCCAAGGGAACGCATGTGTTTCATACCATATTGGGATAAAGATCCACAATGTGTCTCAAAGGTCCTTACCTGCATTAATCACCAGAGCATGATGAGAAACAAGAGAATAGAAGGCAAGCAAGCGAGAGAAAAATAGGCTTTGAGTCAAGAGCATTTACCATTTTCTTTAGGCAGTCCCAGTCATCAACAAGAGGTTGCCCAGCTGGTCGCACAGTTTTCAACACCTCTGGCCCATTTTCAATTCCAAATAAGAGCTTGCCAATAAGTTTCATACTGTGATCTATATGCATTCTGTGAGACATGGCTTCAACAAACTGCTTTTGAGCTTCAACCTTCCTAATGGAGCCTTCAGGTGCCTTGCGGTACTGTAGAAAACATGGAGAACAGCTAGAGTAAGATGGGGTTAAAAATAGCGGGCGACTGAAGTCATACATCTAGACAGTGATCAGAATCAACATCTCATCAACCAACTTCTAACAACCATTTAAAGTAAGAACCATAAGAAATGATACTTCCATATATGCAAGACTTATAACACAAACCTTATCCCAGAAATGGACCAGATCAGCATCACGTTGGTTTACAGCTTTTGAAGGCGGCCTCAAGGAGTTCTCATCGACAAAAGTATAGTTATCATTTGCTGGATTAGTGCCTATATACAAGAAGAGATTTTCTTTGCTTAGTGGTACATCTCCATATTGCATGACATGAGACCCATAAGCAGAATTGCCATTAGCTGTCCTCCTTTTCACCTGCAAAAGCCAGCACAATATAATAAACAAAATTTATTGTCTTTATAATCAGCTCCTGTGTGCAATGTCAGAGGAATGAACCTATTTACATTTCTTATATAGAAGCATTAGTGCATAACCAAAACACATGGAAGGGATATTTTCTTTTCATGAATGTGAAAAAAAAAAAAATTCAAAGAAATTCATCAACCATAATGCTTACCAGTTCATACTGCTGGTGCAAAGTCTCTGTCCGTAAATTGTGTATGTCACTGCTCACAAGATCGGTATATTAAAACTCATGCCACGATATGAGATTCAGAAGGAATTTTTTAAAGCATAATCAAATAATTGGACAAAATTAAAAGAAGCAGATTTTATGTTTCTAATAGGTACCTTAACTAGACTTCTACCTGTTCATTGTATTTCATTCACTATAAAGTTAGTGCCTACCTGTCTTCCATCCAAGCAACACTGTACAAGTCTCCCAAACAAGTTTCATATTCTGGAGGAGGACTAGGATACTCTCCAGGGCAGTAGGTTCCCCAACTGCTCTCTTCTGCATTTGCTGCTGTGGTTGCATAGATATTCAAACCCTTAGGAAGAAGACCCTCAAAGATACTTCCAGACTCACAAGCTTCAAGGTAAAAAACCTAAAATTTTACAACATAGGGGAACAATTAAAATTCCAGAAAGCACACATATACAACAGCATTGAGTGTATGATTGTTCTGCAAGTAATTACCAAGCTTTCGTAGGTCCCCGAAGCATGCTTCTTCTTCAAAACATCAATCAGATCATTAGCATAAAGGTAAGGAAGTGTGGGCATCCCTGAAATAAAACATTAACAGTTAATTTAATCAATCTACTCTCTAGGGAAGAATTAAGGGAAGAGGATGATCAAGCTACTAGAAAGTCACTCCTAGCAAGATACCAACCAAGCACTCCAGGACCTCCATGATCAGTGTAGTATATGAAAATGTGATCATTTGGGCCACTATCTACAACCTTTCCACTGCCTCCAGTTAAAGCAGTTTTGTTTCCAAGGATAACAGCAAAAAAGTTGTTAACAGTAACTTCATCCCCTGTATAATCCTGCCACACAAAAATCAATCACATCAACAGAAAATGTCTTCACTTGTAAATTTTACGAACATATTAACAATGAACACAATAACAACCTTTGGGACTCCCTTATAAACATCATCACCGTGAGGACTATTAATGATAACTCCAGGCCTGGGGTTTTCTTCATCGAAAGCAATGTCATCATACATGAAAACAATGATATTCTCCTCTTTAAGCCCACCTTTCCTCAAGAGTTGATAAGCATGACAAACGTCAGACTGCCAATTGTTGATATAAGTCAATAAACCAGTAAAATTCACCATAAACCAGATAGCTCTAAACAAATTAGCCAAAATGGAATACTATTCAATAACAAAACCCCATATATAAGAAAAACATGAGTACCCTTCCCTTCATAAAAACAAGATGCCAATCCCCTCCAATTGACCAGCACTATTAAAAAATGGGAACTTCCCAAACAAATTTGTAAAGGGCATATAAATTATTCAAAAGATTTTTTATATTAGGGTATTTAAATAAAGACCTTTTCTAAATCCCACAGTTTAAAGCAAACCCACTCTTTTTTTTTTTTTTTTCAAGTAATGTGCTGAAATGTTTGCTTCCACCTTTCTGAGTTTCTAGCTAATTTAAGCTTTTTTGATGTCTGGTTGTAATTCCCAGTTTGGCCCTAGTTGTACAAGAGAAGCTAGACCAAACAGTTTATAAGCGAAAGTTCCATATTTGAAGCTTGCAAGAAAAACTTCACATCGCAATGTTCATAACTACAGTATAATATAAAATTTCCAGCACACAATAATTCAGCACGGGTGGAACATTCAGACAGAACTGGAGCACCAATGTGTCGGCATGCTGGATGGGTCCTTGAAATAAGCACAAAAAACACTGCCAAATCTCCATTACTTTAGCAATAGAGAAGTGGTCCCTGCGGTGCGCATACAGCTATAATACGGTGTATCTAGTCTAGAATCCTTCAAAGAGAGTTGTTAAGTCTTTTTCCTGATAACTTTTTATTTAAAAAAAATGAATAAATAAATTAAAAAACATAACAGGTGATAATGACATAAACAATTATAGCAATACAAGTCAAATTTTAATAAGAATCTCAAAGAAAAATTTGGATCAATTTCTTCTTTCCAATAAAAATCTTTAAAAAAAAAAAAAAAGAAGAGAAGAAGAAGAAGTTTTCGACTTGGCAAACTAATACACATCATTCCAGTTGATCGTCGAATTAAATTTGCAGAAAATTTAGCTAAGCTTTTGATTTTTGATTCTTAGTAATGCAAACAAAAGAGCCTGAGAAAAGAGATGAATTCAGAACCTGGTGCCTGTAATTCCAGTAACCGTTAGATCCAGCAATCAGGACCGCCCATCTCGTGCCAACAGCTTCTTCGTCGTCGCTTGGACGGAAGAACCTCGAAGCTTCAGACGGCAACCGAATAGCGCTTCCAGCCGGATCTCTTCTGCCGACGGCGACTCCCGCCACCGAAAGAAGAAGGAGAATCAGACCGGGCACGACAGGCGTCATTATCGTGGTTAATCAATGAGGGAACTGATTGATGTTTTTTTCTTTTTTTTTGAGGAGGATGACTGGCAGGTGAGGGTATTTATAAACAGAAATGGGCTAAACGTAATTACGCATGTGGTGGGCCCCCTCAACCCCATGATGCTTTATTTAACCTTTTTCTTTTTGGGGGGGGGGAGGAGGCGTGGCGTGGTTGGTGTGTTAATTGGCTCTGCGATTTCCACATATTGCAGCGGCGGTGGGACCTACTTGAAATCGACGGTCTTGATGCTGCTGATGGGGGAATGGGAGTGGACCCCATCAGGGACCAAAAGATGGCCGGATAAGTCGGTTAAGTAATTCGCTGCGATTGGAAGGGCTATCATCTGTTTTTCTCCCCCTTTTATGGAAAGGCAGATGCGGGTGTTTCTTAGGTATATTATTATACGGAGGTTTTTTTTTTTTTTTTTTTAAAGAGATTATACAATAAAAATACCGTGTAGGTATTGAAATTGTTAAAATATAATTGATAAAATAATATAATAAAAATATTATTAATAATATTTTAATGAAGTAATAAGTT